CACGTGAGGGAAGACAGCAGTACAGTGTGACAAACAAATGCACACATAATGATTAGGAAGATGGCAAATGGGTGTTACATTGTAACCTTGGTTCTCTGATTGAGAGACTATCTCACCACTACATACATATGGAATATCTAATGTAGTGGAGAGCTACAATAGAACACCAACTATGAGACACAAGATGACGAGACAGAGGAACAAGAGAAAAGAAACAGGAGCTACCAAAATAAGACAGGACGTAACAAAATGAGGGAACATGGAGGTGTAGGCTTAACAACACAGTGAACAGAGGAGAGCAGGAAAACTGAAACTCGTGAAATTAAGTCTAAGTTTTATTACAAGTTACAAAAGGAGACGCAAAAATGAAGTTGAGAATAAAACATGGAAAACAAAACAGGAGGAAGAAGCTAAGATTTCAAGGTAGCTGCGTATCTTAGAGGGCAAATATGTGTATGTTTCCAAGCAGTGAAAGTACATCTTTGCATAGTTGTTGTACTGCTGTAATGCTTTGTGTTTCACTCGATACAGAACGACATTATGTAAACTATTAACCATATGCTTTTTAAGGGTTTTTCTTCTTTTTGTTTATTTAGGCCAAATGAAAAAAGTACTGTCATCATCAAAGTTTTTACCCAGTCAAATGAGTTTATATGACACATGAAGTCATTTCATGTTACAGAAACAGTTGCTGTTGATTTAATGCAAATTAAATTAAATTAAATCTGCAGTATCATTTCTCAAAATAAAGATGCTGAAAAAAGGATTGTAGTGTTCCAAGTGTCATGGACTCCTGGACTATGATTTGTGACAGAAAAATTCTCCTTCAAGATGTTAAGTTAGTGGCACTGGCTGTTATGCATGTGCAGTGTGTTTTTATAGCTGAGCAGTAAGGTTAGCTAGCAGCCGGCCACCATGACTGAGGCTGCTGTGGCACGAGAGACATCTGGCCAGTGTTCCTGTTCAGTTACTCTGTCAGTGCTAAATGAAGCAGTGATCCTGAAGCTATATGGTGCTTGACACACAGTTCCTACTAAGAACTGAGCTTGGCTGCTTAATTACACTCAACATCTTTTGACTGACACAGGACCACAGTGACTCCCTAAAATCCCTCAAGTTAATTTATATGGCACCAAATCACAATAACAGTTGCATCAAGGCATCCTGCCGTACATGGGAAAGATAAAGACCTACAGTAATACAGAGAAATCCCCAACAATTCGCGCACCCCCATGAGCACGTACTTGGCAATAGTAGGAAGGAAAAACACCTTTTAACAGGAAGAAACCTCCAGAAGAATCAGTCAGTGTAGATGACACAGCTACTACTTTATTAAATCTCTTAATCACAATTGAATAGAAAATGCACTTTTAGTATTGTTGATACATTTATGCTGCATTCTGGTGCAGAATTTTTAGAGCATTTGCATTTTATGTGCTTATCTTTATGAAACCACCATCTCTGAAGCATATCTGCTGATATACTCACACAGCGCAGTCTAACTGTCCATCCATAATGCCACAACTTGATGAAGTAGTTTTCTTTCAGCTCATCATAAAGAATGATAGACCTGCTGGGTGATTACTGCCCACCGTCTTTGTCTTCGTGCTCCGTCTTTCCATAATAGCAAATCTGTGCAAAGAGACGGGCATGTTTGACGTCCTCGTCTTGTTCGCTCTTTGAATATTCAGTGAGGCCTGTCCTTTGAAGCTGCTCCTGGATCTCTTTGTGTGAGCGAAGCAGCTTTATTCATTGTGACTCATGCAAAGTGATCTTTAACCCAGAGGGGAACCACAAAAAACTCTTTTGGGACTTCTGCAATCCCCTGTCCATGGATCATGTTTTGGAAGTTAAATTTAGTTTCTTTTTTCTTTGACATACCAAACTGAGCTCTTGTAGAAATAATTCTTTTCAACATTAAACTTTCTTAATGATTCAGCTTTGAAATAGTGTTTTCAACATCACTTTTCAAATTGAAATCTAAAACAAGTCAGTTCTTGTGTAAAAGCTGCAGTCTGAATATTTTTAGCATGGCAGTAATAGCAATTCTGCAGAGCAGCTGGATTTCTTCAACAATTTGCCTTGAAGATGTACTGTTTTTATATCAGTGTTGTGTAACCCATAAAATCAATGCCCTGGATGATTGTGTGAGGACCGTTCGGCCAGCTGTGTGAGACATCTCATTATGTCTGTGCTCTCTGCGGTATTTTCCGGCTCATGTTGTGCCATGTAGTCATATGGGTTTTAAACATAGAGCGAGAGCAGGTGCAGCCATAGTCCAAAAGCACTGGAGAGGAAACAAACACAAACAACATGCCTTATCCTGCCTTGAAGTGTCCCTCGTCCCCACGGATCTCCGCTGTGTCATCGGTCTGTGCTCGGCTCTGCGTGCACACAGCGGCCAGAGCCCAAGCCTCAAATGGCACTGATCGGTACAGTACCTGCTCCTTACAGCCAGCAGGAGTATGCAGACCTGCTGTGATAAATTGCCAAGCAGCTAGAGGAGGTGAAGGGAAGGGTTCCTCTAAGGGTGTTTTGCTTAATTGCCAGTCCGTTAACAAGTGGTGGAGTTTGATTAAGCGCAGCAGGAGAATAGTTCATGGCTGTCAGTAATGCTGACTGCAGAACGCCACAATAGCAGATTATGTCACAACATTCAGATTTGATGAGCTGACATCAATAAAGTGACTAAAGTTGTAAAGTGATCACCTCACCCACTGATACCGATAGATTCTATATTCATTCAAATCGCTGCTGAAAGATAAATAGAGGCTTTGGGAAACACTGTTTGTGACAAACTGCTCGCGTATGGGGTATGTATAATGCTCGGGCTCATCTTAGATGCCATGGCAACACTCCGCGTTCATTTCTAATTGCGTGTCTGGTTTCTCTGTGAAACCAGCAGTAGAGATGATGTCAGTGGATGAATTACGGTCCCAGTAGGAGTGACCACAGTGTATATGCTGGGTTTTGTTCCTAAAATGCTTGTTGTTTACATGTTTTCTGCTGAGCATTTGTCTCAATTTAAGCACCGTTTCACACTAAATTAGATTATTGACCAGGTTGCTGGAGTCTCACAATTACTTAATTTAATCTACTGTGACATCCAGCCATTAATTATTATTAGGAGTAATTATTATCATTTTTAATAACTCCTCAACACTTGTCTAGACCATTGCTTTTTCTAATATTTCTCTTTCTTTAAAACTTCCCATAATGTCAAATCAGAGGCCTAATGAAGCAGATAAGTGCCTGAAGTAAAGTCCTTTGTCTTGATCTCGCTTTTTAACGGTAAGATAAGTCTCATTAAAGTGAGCTTCAGTTTCACCCCTTTCTCAGCGGCTGCTCAAAAGGTTGTGTAGAAACAAGCAGCTTTGATGTCTGTGAATTTAAGGCTGGCTCGTATGAATGGACTCAAAGCTACTACTCACAGTAATCCTTGGTATTATTTTAACAATTATTTGCTGGCAAACTCTTGGATCTCATGACCTGGAAATGTGTGCCTCACTTATCTTCAAAACCTCCAGCATGGCATTGCAGGGAGCAGCTGACACCTACATGCTTATAGGTGTGTATTACAGCAGCCTGCCAGGTGCTTTCCCAGGATGACATAGCAACGATGACTCCTGCATCAATTTAAAACCTTTTGCATCATAGTTGTGTCTGTAACACAGTGTCTGTGCTGACAAAGTCTTTGTTTGCTTGGAACAAAGAGAAGTGAAATGTTGCTGACTGAATCAATATGGTTTGAGTTGGGGTTTAAGATGATTGCAGTGTTTTGATTCTTGGTTAGCTTTGTGATTTTGTGACCCGGGTGTAAGCTCTTACCATGAGGTACTGCTGCACTTGACTGGCTCCCACATGTATGCATTGTGTGTGCGTGTGTGTGTGTATGTGTCTGTGTGTGTGTACCTGTTTAGGCATCCTTGTGAGGACCATAAATTGGCATTCTACTGTACTTGTGGGGACGCACATCATGAGTTTGAAAGCATTTTTGAGGCTCAAAATGTGGTTTTAATGTCAGGGTTATAATGGTTAGGGTAAGCAGCTAGAGAAAGCGTTATGCCAATTAGATGTCCTCACTAAGATAGCAAAATGAGAATGTGTGTGTATATATAAATAGATAGAGAAGCGTGTTGCTTTAAGGGTTTTTTGAAGGAGACAAAAGCCTATAATCGATTCATTTTGATCTTGAAATGTGTCTAGCAGTTAGCACTGCTGCTAACACTAAATGTGATTAAAGTAGTAGTTTAACTATTTTTAGCTTGCACTTCCTTTACTAAAGGAAAACTTGATCATCACAGTATAACACAAACTGGTCAAAATGGTTTCTCACTGTTCAATCACAGGCATTGTCATTTATGGATACACTTCCTGGAAGTGATAATAACTGGAATTTCTAAACTTATGTTTAGAGAAATTGTTGAATGCTAAATGCAAAGTTTCCTGGCTTTCAGAGTATTTCTTCTTGGTACAATCCTTCCAGTTGGACTGAAGTTTCTTGAAGGCAGTTGCCTGGTTTATCTGGACTAAAGAGGGTTTTTTTTAACCTTTTTTTGTTTGTTTGGGTTTTTATTTTGTTTTTTGTTTTTTATCATTTCTTTTCATTTTCTGCTTATTATTGTCCCTATCTACTTTTTTGCCATCTTTGTTGGAAACTCCTTTGTGAATTCTAGTAGGGTGCCTAGGGAGCAGTAATTATTCATGACAACACAAACCCCATCTCCCAAATCCCTATTTGCATATTCAGACCTAATCAACATGAAAAATGGTCATTAAAGTGAATCCGGATAATTACATTTGTTTTCAACCTCTCACGGATCCTGTTATCAATTTTCACCTTAGCATGATACAACTTAGTCACCGTTTTCACTCCCCAGAGGTGGTCTCAAGCTTATTTCACACCGCAGCCACATCACCCATAAAAATCTCAGTTCCCTTTACCCTTTTCTTGAGCCCTTCCTGCATTTAAATATATTTTTTTATATCCTTATCCACAGATCTGGTATTTTCCTGGATCTTCAATGAGTACCCGACATTTGTGAAGCAGGATACGCGTCGCTTCATCTCCCAGGAGACAGGGAATCTGTACATTGCTAAAGTGGAGCCCTCAGATGTTGGCAACTACACTTGTGTGGTGACCAACACCGTCACCAAGACCCGTGTCCAGGGCCCGCCCACTCCACTTGTGCTCCGCAGTGATGGTGAGCTCACACTTATGCCAGTTAACAGCATATAAGAACACTGGTTAGTGCGACAAAAAGGTTTTACTGTTTTGTGATAGAATTTATAGACTGTTGGGGTACACTCAAAAATGATTCTTCACCCTCAAACATCAGAACAGTCATTTGAGTAAAATGTAACTAAAATATATATAAAATTAAAGGTTTATTTATGCATGGAATGTTTTGGAAAAATTACATATAATTAAATTAGTTAAAGGCAATATTGGGCAGTATGTAGTCACTGATTTACTCCTAAAGTATGTGCTGTGTGCTTCATCATTCTGCTGGGTCTCAGTCTATTACTCAACCTTTGGAGCAAAGCAGGGTTTATTTCAATGCTGACAAATTATTGCAGTTTAACACTACAGCCCCCAAAACTGTGATTTTGCAGTGTTGCATGCATATGCATATTAAGTGCACATTGTAAATGCAATAGGAAATAATCATGAAACATCTCGTGTTCGACAAAGACAAACCATTAGTGTTTTTCTTGAATGTTTGGTTTGATAACAGATTTCTATTTCTGTGGTCCTTTGTTATAAAAACAAAACAAAACTGCAGTTTCTTTGATACAACAGGAAAGCCAGAATCACTTGGCTGATTTAGTGCAGCGCTCTTTAGAATTTGTACAGGTCATACCCATAGTAGCGAGCCAACATGGCTACTGTTGGTACCTCCCAAAAAACTTTGTTTCAAAGAACACGAATGAAATTCAAAGGTTAATTATCTCCTCCTCTGCTAATTTCAGCCTGTCCTTTTACATGTGGACCTAATGCTTAAGGCTGGCCTTATCAAGCCACTTCAGATGAAAGGTCATTCTCAGCAAGTAATCTAATTGTAGGCTTCTGTCCCAGAAGCATGTTCCATATTCTTAAGTAATGCTGAAAAATATGAGAATGTCATAAAGGACATTTAATATAATCTTCCCAATAATGATAGATGATTTGATGTAATAAAAAAAACGACATTTAAGTAGGCAGAATCACTTCTAATCACAACACACACTTTAAGCTTTTTTTACATGACTTACATGCTATACTAGCTTTAATATTAATGTTTAACTCAGTTATAATAACCTATGATTAGAAATAAAGGCTTGCTTTGATTTACATTAATGACCACTGGTCATGTGTTAATATTAATATTGTTTTAAGTTTATGTTTGAAACTTAGTTTCAGATTGTTTCTAAGGTCGATTTCCAATATTTCGATTTTGTTTTAATCATTTGAAAAAATGCTTAGTTTAAGTGTTAATTTATTTTTAGCATGAGGTGCCAAAAAGAACCAAAATCAAACTCTTGACACAGAACTTCATGAATAAAAACCAAACCTTTATTCAGGCTCTGTATGAAGTCAAAGTATCTTAAACGATTGCATATTAGGAATAGCAAACGGAGAAAACAGCACAGGTTTAGTACACAGACAACTTGACAACGACAAAGGAAGACAGCAACTATATACATGACTGTGGCAGAGCGGAGACACCTGGGAAACTAGACACAGCTGAACTAAATTAGATAATAATTAATGAGGAAGTAAAACTGAAATGACCATCAACATTAAACAGGAAGTAACATGAGACAGAGATGAAGCTTCACAAAAAATTACAACGAGACATTTGGGAGGCTAGGCTAAACTAAATGAATGATGCAGCTGGTATGAAATCTACACTGGGGGGGAAAACAGGATAGAATATAGCAACAATGTAACAACAACTAAAAACTAAACACTGAATGAGACGATGAACTGGATATAAAATGAAATAATAAATAGAAGCCAAGACAAAGGAAAACTAAAGCTAAATATGAAACTGACAGTTACAGAAGTAAAGAAACTCTAAACAGCAAACGCTAGAAAACATCATCAAACAGAGAATTTAATAATAACCCTGAATTCAAAGTCTAAAACATAGGGTTCAAAACGACAGGACCATAACTTTTTTATATAACATGAAGTATTTATTGCATTAAGATGTAATATGTTTATAGTAAGTTCACAATGTAGACACAAGGCTTCATGCCGTGCAGACGTCCCAGTCTCCAGGAACAGAAACAGCCTTTCCAAACCGGAACTGACAAGTTCAACCAAATTAACAAAGACTGAAAGCAAAGACATACTCGCTTTATTTTTGTTTCATTGAAGGACATGTATTCCAGTTAGTTTTCATCTTTTTTTTAACTAAAATGTTTTCCTCACCTAGTTTGAGTTTTTCAGTTTTCAATTAACTGTTATAACCTTGATGGTTTTAAGTAGAATTTTCTATGAATAAGTCCAGTATATCAGTGCATTGAGTTTGAAAACATTTAAAGGGAATAATGTTTTTATGCATAAACAAACACAAATAAACGCAAAAGATAAACATTTTGAAATGATTTAATAAAGACATTTCCCCGAAGATGCAATTTTTACATTCATAAATATAAAATTACTTTTACCTGCAATTTTGCTATTTTATCCAGTGTTTGTGAGTATGCACACTAATTTAATAGAAGTCGCAAATAAACACAAAATGTTTTTTTACATATTATCTTATTATCGTGTGTCGGACTAAAACAAGTTGATGAAACTAAATCTAATATCAAGAAGACGGCTCAGCTAGTTGGTCAGTGGTGAGTCCAGCAGAGATTCCAAAGCACTTTCATTCTCTGCTTCTGCACTTTTTTCATTACAACATTAGTTCAGCACAGCAGCAACACCAACATATCAGGAGTCAGCTCGACCTCATCGTCATGAAGTGGAGCTCAGGTAGGGGATGCGGGTGTGGGTGGGGTGTGGGGGGGTTCAGGTTGGCACATTAAATATGTGTCCCCTACAAAAGGTTATGGTATGAGACAATTACCCGTCCACTTCCTCCTGTCTGCTTTAATATGGGTGATAGTGCTGTGGTTAAGTTTCAGTGACAGTTGTGATAAGGATCTGAATGAGCTTTCACAGTCACTCAGGGAGCCATCCTGATAACACATGCCTCACCAAATCAACGAGATGAAATTGGCCTGTTTCCTACATCTCTAGAGCTATTTGTGCAACACAGCCCTGAATTGCAGCAAAGGGGGAAAAACCTGTTGTTACATTGGTGGATGACAGTACCTTAAAACGGCATTTCGTGCACCCGTGCTGAGCGCTGGCGGAGCTGAGAGAAATGACAGCACGCCAAGTAGCAAATTCATTGATGTAATTTACCTCAGTGTCGTTTTAAGGGAAATGAATAAAATTCAGAGGTGCTTTTCTTTCCTATGGATGTAAGACACGAGTCTCAAATGCATCTATACCAAAGCTAGAACAGCAGAAAATCCACATTCTGTCTTCTTCTCTGCCTATCCAGAGATTTTTAGCATGCACAGCAGCAATATTATAATCCACCAGAGCTGCTTCACCAACAGGAAGCTTTGTAGACACAGTGGCAGCACCCAGGGGGATTTTATGGGCCCATTTTCTGGTTCATAGCTGTTAGCGCTACAACGAGGTGAAACTCATCTGGATGTAAAAGCTCAAACCGTCTATGAATTCTCAGTCTTTTGGTTGTTGTTGTTTTCTTTTTTGGGTTTTGTCAGTTGAACATCAGCGTGTCGCATGTCCACATGGAGAGAATATGTTTTTTGCTTTTTCTTCTCATTACTTTCAACGGGAGGGCATCCTGTGACAATGCTGAGAGCAGTGCTGGTGTCTGCTGCTCAGCATGGAAGTAAAAAAAATAATGCTGCACACAGAAATGTTTTCAGCTTTTGGGTAGCAACAGAAGAAACCACAACGCTGTATTTTTTAACTTCTTTTGCCTGACTTGTTAAACTTGAATAAAAAAAATCTTTCTTTGCACTAACACTCATTTGCATTTCTCTTTCAGGTATTATGGGTGAATACGAGCCAAAGATTGAAGTTCAGTTTCCAGAGCTTGTTCATGTTGCCAAAGGATCCACTGTAAAACTTGAATGCTTCGCCCTGGGAAAGTAAGCTCACTTTTAGTACAGGCTCAGCATGCTCACGACCATTTAAAAGAAATATGTTGTGAGAAAATGTTACGTTTTCATAACGTGTGCTTTTCCATTTCACTACAATCCTGGTATGTTTCAAGCCTGGCTGCACATCTGACAAATTCGAGAGTGTTGTGGTGTAAGGATCTTCAGCTGAAATATACAGCTTTGTAACACAGTGTACTGAAGCACAAAACACACGGCTAAAGTAAAAAAGTGCTGAACAGTTACACTAAACTCTGTGGTGCTAGGTTATTTTTGCAGCTTCACATCCACAGAGAATGAAATCCCCACATTAAACTTTCATTCAGAATCACCATTAATTGCCATATTTGTGGTTGTTTTTTTGTCTCCAGTTTTGCCTCTTTATCCACCACAGTAGATTTCAGTTCAAACAGTCAAGATGTTGATTAACTTTTTAACTTTAATTCAAATTATTTGCATTCACTGCTTATGAATTACAGCATTTTTTATTCACAGTCCCCCACTTTCAGTTCAGTATTTACACAGTTGACTGATAGTGACTGATGTTGAGGGACGCCATTATTAGGCTGAAAAAAATCAAATCAAATCAAATCAAACCAACCTATCAGACAGGTTTTCAAAATTTTAGAAGTAGCCAAATTAACAAAGTAGAAGCAGTGTTATAGTATTAGCATGTATGGCTGGGTCTCTAGTTTGGATTGGTGTAACAAACAAAGTAGCTGGATGAATTATGAAGTGTACAAGGCTATACTCTGCTCAGCCAAATAGTGGGCATAGTTTGGGGATGGTCCCTTCCTGTTCCAACACGACTTTGCACCAGTGCACAAAGCAAGGTCCATAAAGAGATGGATTAGTAAACTTGGTGTGGAAGATCTTGACTGGCCTCCACAGAGTCCTGACCTCAACCCAATAGAACACCTTTGGCATGTATTAGAGTGGAGACTGCAAGCCAGCCAGTCCTTCTTGTCCAACATTACCGTCCTACCTCACAAATGTGCTTCTGAATAATGTTCAAATATTCCCATAAACACACTCGTAAACCTCGTGGAAAGCCTTCCCAGAAGGGTTGAAGCGGTTATAGCTGCAGAGGGTGGGTTGATATCGTATTAAACTCTACGGATTAGGAATAGGATGTCACCAAGTTCATATGCATGTGAAGGCAAACGAGCAAGACTATGAAGACGTTTCTGCAAGAAACAGTAGACTAGAGTAGATGCAGTTTCTATATTCAAATTGATATTTTTTGTACCATAGAATATAACAAAGGCATCAAGGTTACATTTTATTTAGTTCATTCACCTAATGCACTTATTTTATCTCAGTGTAGGAGTCTTTGCCATTTATCATCAGCAAAGCTTCCCTGCTCTCGGTTTTATTGTGTGCATCTCCTCACATACATGGAGTGGACCAGAGGAGCTCGTCTGCAATAAAAGTTTCTCAGCAACTGTTAAATCATAAAGAGTGCGAGAAAGGAGACGGAGAGGACGACGGTGACTCATCATCAAACGTTTTAGTCGTCATCTTTTGCAAACAAACGTAGCTTTGGTGCGGCACCTTCAAACAGCGCAATCAGCGCACTACTGCTGATGCCTGGTGTATGCACAGAACAACACACAGTTTAAGTTTGTCAGTATCCAGTATCACATCAATTTACAATCCAAATATCAGATCAGTGCAAACCTAATGCTTCATGTATACAAGACACCTTTCCACATAACAGATACTAATATATGCAATCTGCTTAGCTAGATGATTTGAACGCCATCATGTTCTTTATGAAAATTATGGTGCAGGACATTTACAGGGTAAGCCATCTGAATTTGATCCATAGTTCGCAGAGTCTCCTCTTGAAGCTTGGATCTTATAGATTTCAATTCAAGGTTAATTCGAGCACAACATCCACCAGTCTTGAAAATTACTGAAAGAGTGAAGTATGACTCAGTGATGGTTTTACTTATAAAAAGAATACTTTTTAAAATTTTGCTTGCAGATAATTGGTATACACGCTTTCTACATTCTGGCAGCTCATACTCTAATTCTGCTTTATCATTTCCAATAAAGGTAAATGCATATAAACATTTTTGTCTCTTGTGTCACCCTACCAGCTTCAAAAACACATTTACCTCTCTTCACAGCCCAGCACCTTCTATAAGCTGGAGGAGAGTCGACAATGTGCCATTCCCTAGAAAAGTGGACATGAGAAAGGCCAGCGGCGTGCTGGAAATCCCATATTTCCAGCAGGAGGATGCCGGCACGTACGAGTGTGTGGCTGAAAACTCCAGGGGAATGAACACAGTGAAAGGAAAGCTCTCTTTCTACGGTAGGTGATCCAGTCGTGCATGAATATTTGACCACCGTGCACCACATCTGTCAGACCTGCTCAGACTGAAAGGCAGCAAAAGCAGACACAACTTTTTCTCGCAAAGCCGGCTGCGGCGATCAGCAGAGGCTCGGCGTGGCATGCGCGAGGAAAGAGGTTTGTTTTAACGGCACATCAAAATGATTAAAGGCCATCAGCCATGATGCCTCTAATATTTTGATCCAGATTAAAGGGTGATGTGGATGAGGCTGAGCCCTTGGATACAACCTTGTTGGTGAGCCTCGTATTGGGTTTCCACCAGATGGCATCGTGATTCACGTCCAACTTGACGGGAGATCAAAGCTGTTAAATGTACTATACATAGACCAGTGGCACATATGTCAGGGCCTTAATCTGCACAGCAGCATCTGGATCAACGGAAAGGGGGGTTAGGAGATTTCAGTCATTGTTGCTGACAGTGTCACAGTTGATGCCACACCCACTGAGTTCAGATAGTAGAAGTAGAGATTACCAAAGACTATTTAATTCCAAAATTAAACACCCACTGTGAGAAACACTCTCTGCAAGTAACACACACATCTCAACATTTTAAAGGTTTTTTGCTGCTTTTTATTTTTGGCAAAATGATAAATGTGGAGATCTTGATTTATTATTTTGGCGCATATTTGTCACTCTTACATGTTTCAGATCACTGAGTAAAAGAACAGATGAGAAACAAAGACTGTTGTTTCAGTCTGGAAAGGTTTCCAAAGCCATTTTTAAGGCTTTGGAACTTCAGTGAACCACAGCGAGAGCCATTACCCACAAATCGAGAAAACCTTCAACAGGATTGGCCGACCAACCAAAATTACCCCAAGAGCTCATTGATTCATCCAGGAGGTGTCAAGGCGAAACCACCGCTGACCCAAAAGAACACAAAGTCTTGCCTCAGATTTGCCAAACACATCTCGATGATCCTGAAAGGTTTTCGCAAATTACACCTGGTGTAAAACTACCACAGCGTTTCATAAAAAGAACATCATACCAAAAGTCAAATATGGTGGTGGTAGAGTCTTTGGTGCTTCAGGACCTGGAAGACTAGCTGTAATTAATGGAACCATGAATTCTGCTCTCTACCAGAGAATCAATTCATTTCCTGAAGCTCAAAAGCACTTGGGTTATTTAGCAGGACAATGACCTGAAACACACCAGCAAGTTGAATGCAAGTTGAACCTCTGAATGCCTTTAAAAAAAACTAGAGTGGCCTAGTCAAAGTCCAGACTTAAATCTGATTGAGATCTTTTGGGATTAACTTAAACAGTCAATTTCTGCTCAAAAACCTTTCTTCGGTGGTTGAATTAAAGCGGTTTTACAAAGAAGACGGGGCCAAAAGACTTATTGTGAGTCATCACAAAAGTTGCACAGTCAGTTATTGGATTTAGAGGGTAATTAATTTTTCACACAGGACCAGGTAGGTTTGGGCAGCTTTTTTCCCTTAATGAATGAAAACATCATTTAAAAACTTTTATATTTACTCCGGTTATTTTGACTGAAATTAAAGTTTGTTTGCTGATCGGAAACATGTAAGTGTGACAAATATCTCCCCCAAAAGTATGGAAAGGGGAAAACTTTTACAGCACATAACCCCAAAGGATTTATATATTTGCAAAGAATATATATCCATCTTTCTGTATGCTTAATCATGCTTTTGTCCTTTTCCCCCTCAAACTTCTCTGAAGTTATCAAAGAGGGACTGAAACTTAGGGAGAGAGGAAAGAAAGAAAGAAAGAAAGAAAGAAAGAAAGAAAGAAAGAAAGAAAGAAAGAAAGAAAGAAAGAAAGAAAGAAAGAAAGAAAGAAAGAAA